GGTGATAAGGTTAAATATAATACCATATTGGATTGTAAGAAATCTCTAACCGAATACTCTCCCAGAGGTGGGGTTTGCATTATATGAGTGCAGGCCACTCGGAAGTAGTCGGCAAACGAACGAGCGGATGTAATAGCTTTAAAGGGAAGGGAGCTCGAGGTAGTTAACCTGGCGAACGCAAAACCATTTGACTCCACGAGGGCAGAATTAAAAATATGGTTGAGAGAATCCTATAAGGCTTCTTGGAATGATGAAACGATGGGTAGTATATGGGGTGACCCTAACGACAGCTGAACGAGAAGCCTCTTTTAAATGAGCAAGTCTGAGGTTAGTTTGATGCATGTATTCCGAGTAGTATAACGCACACAGCTAAACAAACTTGGATGTGCGGTTTCAGACGAATATAAAGCATGTAGAGAGGACTGTTTAACTCTGGAGCACTTTCTTTCCCATTGTCAGACTATTGTAGAAATTAGATTCAAATATCTTGTGAACCATATTATACTTAATATAACAATCCTCATGAATAATGATTGGAAATTTCTAGGGAATAACGTCCAAGAAACTGAGTTTCTGAACGCGGGACGACAATATATTTATTGAATACTATATAAGGCTTTTGTTTTTAACAACAAACATTTACAGGAAAAGGAGTGCAGAGGTATATTTCTTTGGATTTGATGTGGTATACATACTTCTAACAAACTAACGAATCCTTTCCGTTTCGATGGTATAAAATTCGGACATTAGGCCATCAGTTGAAGACTAACAGATTGTGCTCATCTGAGTCAGTATCTGTATATAACGATGTAGGTAATAGAAATATTGGTTACACATCCATCTTTAAGTATAACAATCGACTCTGAAGCAAGTTTTTAAGTCGGTCCATTATTTTACCTAGCCTTCATAATCAATTTTGGTTCAAAATCACAAGTATATGATTAAATACGAATAAAAATTTCACTAAATTTCTATTAAAATAGTTGTTCAACCCATTTCCTTAACAATCCAAATAATTCTCAAACTTATAAATTTCATATCGAAAAAAAAAAAAAATCACCCTAATGTTTATGTCAATAACTGATTTTAATTTTATGCAAATTTCACAATATCTAGTATATAATTTTATTATACTTTTATTTTTCTAATTGATTAATTTAGTTGCGGCCATTAAACGCGTTTTATTTAATAATTTGAAAATTATACAGACATACAAAACAGCTACTCCACTTTATTTAGCACCAAGTTTTTAAAGTCCGCCAATACACATTAATTAATTTATTAGTTTAGTCAGATCAATATTTATAAAATTTGCTTTATATATTTTTCTTAGGAAATTTATTCATACAAAAGTTCTAATCATCAGCAGCAACTTTTTGAGAGTCTTTAGGTTTTAACCAAATTTGGACATCTATCACAAGTTCAAATTCAAAATAATACGTTTTTTGGAAAAAAAAGTTTCAAAACTTTTTAATGAATTCACCAAGTCTTTTGGCCAAAAATGGTCATACACTTTATTTGAATCATCTTTTTTTATTTTTTTTTTTTTTTTTTGTTGTTTATCAATTGTTAATTGGTTTATTTGTTGTTGTTGTTTTGCCCAAATAACCTGTGATGTATTTGACTATTTTTAACAAAATTTCTTCATATTTTTTTTTTTTTTCAAATTATTTTCAATATTTGTTTGTTGTTGTTCTAAGGTTTATTATTTAAGTCATTTTGTAGGCGCCAAGTTTTGTGGTTTTTGCGGTTAAAATTTTGTTTGTTTTATTTGATTTCTGTTGTCTTGTATTTAAATTTATTTTGATTTCACTAAATTATTATTAAAATTGGAACATGATGTTTATTTGACAAGTATAAGAATAGACCACAAGCTGAGGCAGAGCAAGACTATCAATTACTGCCGATGTTGTTGCTGTTGTTGGTTTTAGACGTTTGTAGTAAAATCGATAGAACCAGACAAAAAGGTTGGTTGCTATTTCCGGTCGAAATAATGAATTGAATTAATTTTAAAAGTTTTTTATGTTTGAAGTGTGCAGTGCACACTTTGTCATTGCGGTTTCCCTTTATAATAAAAACATTTTAAATATTATTTTGATAGTAATTTCCTCTTCAATATTGTCTTACAGGTTGCTATCTATTAAAGTGATTTTTAATTAATTTGTTGAACAATTTATCGGGTTTTTTGGCTGTAATTTAATTAGGGAACAGTAGGACTTTTTCCATATTAATTTTTGATTTAAAAAGGCATCAAAGGGTTGTGGCAAGAAAACTATTAGCCCACATGCTCAAGAAAGCATATCAATCACATCGATAAAAAGTGGTTTTTATTATGTTGGCCTTGCTAGACTTAGATATTTATGGTCGATGTCCTGAGATTTAATTGAATTTTAGCCTGAAACACTAGAGACCAAGCTCATCAGAGAAAATTCCAGATCCAGTTCTGTAACAGTATTCGAACCGTAAAAGTTGACTGAAATCACATCGTTCTAGAGGACATTGTTTGTAGTCCATTAATAAGATTCTGACAAAACTTAGTGTGTGTAGTATATAAGCCGCAAATTCAGACTATTTATTTTCGTTGGATGATGCCAATGTAGTCATGTTTCAAATCAAATAGCCGATTTAACAGAAATACGCTTGATAAAGCTCTCAAGGACTGGTGCGTCTAGGATTGTCTACAAACTGGCTTAACATGTTGAACCAGTTTGGTCTTCGAAAAGATATGCATGACCATACTAGATTGGGACAGCCATACCAGATGGGCTCGTGACGAGTACTCACAAAGAACTACCTCCTATGTCTGGTACCATCTGTTTGTCCCCATTGGAGCAGCTACCAGATCTCTTGAGTCTGCCAGTACGTTCTTTTTTGGAGCTATTGAACCTCGTCCTCTAGAACATCTATCAAATGCACCAGTGTCGATTTACCCATATTGGGAAGTCTGCTACTGGCGGGCGAAAATAATACCACCTAGAAGGACCTTTATTAAACTACGTGTAGCCAAAGAGCCTGCCGAATCTTTTTCCTCCGATGACTTGTCATCATTGAACTGGGCCAAATCAGTTCTGGCTTATAAACTCCTACCACTCACGTTGAAAAACTTGCATAAACGGCAACGTTCGGAAGAGGAGGCACTTAGTCAGTCGCTACAGCCCGAAAAAAAGAAGATAAAGCCACAAAGATCATTCGATAGACCATTTAGCGATGTAGCTAAAGGTCATTTCGTACGAGTTATTATTATGTAGATTCAGACTGCTCTATATTCCACTAAAACTGGTATATATTGTATAGAAAGCTGATAGGGGTTTTCTGTCGAGTTCTCAAGGAGAATCCAGTACCCTCCTCTCAGTGTGATGATGCTGGCTAATACCAAGGTCGGGAGAAGCTAATGACCTGCTCAAACGAGCGATCTCTGTTACTAAGCAAGCGATAGCTCTATTGAATAGTCTGAGGGATGCAGCAAGATATCACACCAGCCTAGGTCCGCTGCCCTGATTCTCGAAGAGCCAGCGAAACCCGAACAGATATTGAAGCTATTGAAGATCGAAACCCCTAAAATCTCCACTAATGACTAGAAGTCATGAACTAAAACATCGAAATCACGTTGTTGATTGATTTAGAGAGCACCAAGTACTACGACCCAAGTTAAGATATTTTGTGCGACCCTTTTGGCTCACCATTGGAGATTAAGTTTACGTATGAATCTTAATGTTCTAGACGGTGAGAGATTGAATATTTCATTAGGCGAAAGAAAAGCGCCTCCCAGAGTACTCACTCTGAGAGACCATAATGGCTGACAGTCACAAAGTACATGTTCGTTACATTGTTACCAAGAATGTGCTGGTGGTATCTACGTCCACAGTGTACGGTATAAAGTCCCGTTAGGAATCTTAGGTCGCTCTTGTTAAGTGGTGGTAACTTTTGGGCTGTACCTTTCATTAGCATTATGAAGCTTTTTGCCCGTCTGAATCCTGATATTGACTCCCAGTGGAGGAGGAATTCAAATTCAATATACGAATCGCGTTTTTCCCTAATGTATCCTTTGGGGATACCAAAGAATGGTTCTGGTCTAAGAAATGGGCGGCGTGTGCCCCTGTTTGCCAAACAATCTGCTCATTCATTGGCAGAGTGTCCTTCATGGTCCTTCTTGACAAAAGATTCATAGACAAGATATCAAGTGAATCAACTTTCTTAGATAGTGAAATACTCGATATCTATACTGATGGTTTCAAGTCTTCAACGGGGTTGGTGGTGGTTTTCTTATTCCCCGTTTTAATAAAACATTATTGTAGCGTTAAACAGATTGAAATTTCAGCTATAAAAAAAGCGGTAAGCTGGTGTATACACGACATCCAGACTAGTTGGCGAATTTCAGACGTCTCTTGACGAGATGTTGAACTTTTCGTGTTTGAAATCTCCTGTGGATGTCGGGACATTATAATGTACCTGGGAATATCAAAACGGATAAACTTGCAATATATTGCTTTCGTGCTCCAAAACCCTCCTCCAACATGAATTTATGGGTCTGCTTATATCAGAAGGTCATCACGGACCTCCTACTCGACATCAAGAATGCCCTGTCTTCTCTATGATGAGCAAAGATCTGAAGGTTTAATGGGGCTTTACAGGATGAGACTACAAATATTGATGGGCATCCTGACTATTGCAGGAACTGTTACAATGAGGATAAAGAGGAAATTGATTAAAATTCTCTTTCTACATTTGTTCTGCTCTGATGAATATCAGGACTGAGTCAGGATTTCCTAATAAGGATACATATAAGCTAGAATCCTTTAATCGGCCTCTGGCTAGTTTAATTCCATCTCAAACACGGACATTTAGGTGGGTTGGGGTAGGATAACACAAGAGGATGATATATGACTTAATCATATCCAGTCATTCTAACGGTATGTACATATTTTTAACGAAAATATTATAATATAAATGAACAGTAGGTATAGACATATTGTCTACCAGCAACTCTTCTACTTCACAACTTAAAATTTATAAATTTTCCATATTAAAGCGAAAACTGTAACAAAAATTTTGATAAACAATTAAATTATTTTAATGTTTTCAAAGAAAAATAAGCGTCAAGCCTGCTAAACGTCATCAAAGTAATAAAAGAAATAAAACTTCTGGAAAATTCTGTACATTTGCAAACTAAATTGGGAAAATGTGAAATAAAATAAAAGCCACCTGTTGCCATTTATGAGGTTTTTTCTCCACATTTTCTTTTTTTGCCAACAAATTCCAAGGCCAAACAAATAAAATTTCCTTTTTGCTTTCGTCACAACTTTTAAAAAGCAGCAGGGCTGCAAATACCACCATCACTCTGCCACGGACGTAATTCATAGATAAAAAATAGCAACAAAAAAAAAGAGAAAGGAAATATTTGTGCATATGTATGTTCAAGTCTAATAATAACAGAGTAAATATATATTACGAGACTTGAATTTCATTCAATAAAATAAACACTTTTTCTGCATTATATAGATAAAGAGATTTTTTATGAATGAAAATTATTTTACGCAAACTGTTAAGCTTTCAATTTAACACAGTTTGCGCATTTCAAATTGTAGGGGATTAAGTGAAACAAAACTAAAGGAATTTCCCACCCCTATGTTGTTTTTTTTTTTTTTGCAAAAGAGGGCCAAGCAGGCCGGCCGGTACTATGACCGTGAAAAGAGAAAACCCAAGACCGGCGCTTAATAGCTCAATCGATTTTTCGTGCAGTTTCGAAGAGGGGAAGTTGTAAAGAAATGAGAGCACTACCAGAAATGTTAAAATGTAACAGGAGTAAAAAAGCTTTTTCCTGCTTATGTAGACCAACGGTTCCCAAAAGGGGGTCCGCGGACCCCTAGTGGTCCGTAGCAAAATCCTAGGGGGTCCGCGAAGACGAACGAAAAAAATCATGAATAAAAAATATTCTCTATATGTTACAAAATATTAAAAATATCTCCAAATTTTTCATAAATACTAAAATACACAATTTTTATTCAATAATCCCAGATTTGTTGGTGACTCTTTGAATTTTATTGTTTTGGTCGTTTATCAGGATGAAGCTAGGCCCTACAAATTTATTGTTTCACTTTTATAAAGTAAAGTATTACGTGATTTGTAATTTTTATAAATATATATGTATCGAAATAAATGTTTTTATGCTATAGCAGACGGATAATGATTTGCCTTAGAATTAAATACTGATACTGGTATCCCGGAATATGAAGTTAGGTCACATTTCATAATATTTTTTTAAATTGTAAGCAAAAGTGTTAATCTAGTTAATTTTAAATATAAATATTCCATTCCAACGTGATACACAGATTTTAACTTCATTTTGTTGTCCAATATTATTAAATCAACATCAGAAAATTCATAGCGTTTTGCGTAAATAGTCAAAACCACGCAGTAAAATAATTCGTAGGTATTTTAAAATTCAAATTTAAGATCCAAATTCACAGTACATTCGCAAAGAGTCCAGGTCATATTTTATGTGGGTAACGCATTCCGCAACAACATCGAAGAAGTCTAACTTTCACATATTTTCCCGAAAACTTAGCTTACATACTCAGCTTACTCCTATGCAATCGCAAAAAAATTTAGAAACATGACTCTTTAAGCACATGTCGACAATACTTGTTAAAGAAACATTTTCTCTACCTTGACGAGAAATGAACATGAAAGCTCTCACGATCATAAAATTAAACATCATGGTAGAAGTCATTCTATATTTAAAACCATGAAATTGAAAACATCTCCGAAATACTAAATGTTCTCAATGTACGGGAATATTTTATAGGGTTTATGGACCAGGACTTAGACAATTTTCGGACGAACAATTACACAGTGATACAGCAAAAAAATGTAGGGGTTCTCATATACCAATTCCATTTCGTTATAGTCCATAGAGTAGGAATTTATTTTTAATTTTTCCCGATCACTTCGTTTAGTTCCTTTTTAAGAGCAAAAGTTGTGAAAAAGAGCTATTTTTGAAGTTTTAACTTAAAAAAAAATATATGTTTGGTAGTTTGCAACCGATTTTCAAATTGGATATTTAAAGATACGAGTGTTGTCTTTCAACCCAAAAAAATAAATCCAAAATTTATGATTAATGTCTTGGTTACGGCCATTTAAGTAAAAAAACTCACACTTTTTTCACAATTTTTAATTTTCATACTGCTCTACACAGAAAAAAAAATGCACAATTTTTTTCTTAACAATCGGTTGCTTAAATTTAATTTCTATTTTTATTAATATTTTTATTTGGGTTTATAACGAATTTGTTTGATGTTCACACAGAAGGAAAATATTTTCTAACAAACACTTTATTGAAATAAATTTAACTTTCAGTAAATATTTTTACTGATTCAATAAATGTTTTTGTTTGAGTTTTATTTTTATGTCAGCATATGGAATACAACAATAAAACCAGTTTTGGAATGTACTAAAACGAATTGATATAATTCTTATTTGGTTTATAACATTTAATGTATAAGTGTTTCAGTTTTCACAGTACAAAATAATAGTTTCTAGAATTAGAAACGTTTTCTTAAAAATGTTGTAAATATATATGTAATTTTTTTACTACTTTTAGTTTTAAATATTTTTTGTAAAATTTTTGTTAAAAATTAGTATATATTTTTTAACAAAATTTTTATAGATTCAATGAAAAATTTTCTTATTATTATTGCCAAAATACAATAAATAATTTAAATGTTTCAGATAACATATTTGCTTGAATTTCAGTACAAATACTAATAACTTGTGTTATTGTTTCAGTAAAATAATTGTTTGGAAATGTTGCGATTATTTATTAATGTTTTTCGTAAATAGTATATTATTTTAATAAGAAAAATCCTGAAATTTTTTCAATAAAGAATTTACGAATTTGAGTACTTGATTTTACGAATTTTGTGATAGGTCCTATTTTAGTAAAAAAAATACTTGGCTTTATGAATTTTTTGTTTGATTTTGAATTCCATTTTTTTCTGTGTACGTTGGCCATGAAGCAGTAACTTTAGCTTTTATTACATTTAAAAAAAGGCACATTAAGTTGGGTTTCCAATGATGGTCAATTTATGATAATCGATGAAAAAGGTTATGAGTTGTGCTAAGTTTTATAAAAATATAGCATATTTCTTCCATACAAAAACGTTCATGTTTCTGGTTTTCTTTGTAACAAGTTTAAAAAATGTTTATAAACATTTTTATACAAAAATTAATTTGTATGGAGAAAACCAAAAATTCGAGAAACATGCTATTAGAAAAATTGGCATAAATCATCCAGTTTTTCATAGATTTTTATGAAATAACAAGTTTTAGAAACCTTCCTTTATGTGATTCTTCAGGAAAGTAATAAAAGATGAACTCACTGCCTCATGGTCAAAGTAGAGCATGATGAAAATGAAAATTTTTTAAAAAAGTGTGAGTTTTTTTACTTAAACGACCGTAACTCAGACATTTTTTTTTGGATTAAAAGACACTTGTATCATTAAAAAAAAATATCGGATTTGAAAATCGGATGAAAACTACTAAACTTATGATTTTTCAAATTTAAAACTTCAAAAATGGCTCTTTTTCGCATCTTTTGCTCTTAAAAAGTAAGTTAACGAAGTGATAGGGGAAAACTAAAAATATATTCGTACTCTATGGACTATAACGAAATAGATTTGGTATATGAGAACGCCTGCATTTTATTTTTCTTCACTTTTGTATCACAGTGTTATTTATAACAATAAGATATCAAAATATGTATGGGGGTCCGTGAAATTAAATAAATTCCTCAAGGGGTCCGCGAAGTAAAAAACGGTGGGAACCGCTGATGTAGACTATTGACTGCAAAGTTGTGAGAGTGAAAGTTGTTTAAATAAACTTGACATTGTGCCATAACTTTTATTAGTATCAGTTATAGACTTTTTAAGTTCATGGTTGGCTATTGACGTTATTCTACATGTGTCAGTCCCAACGTTCGTACCTCGTCATCCAGCTTTTATCTCTTTCTTCCTTTCTTCGCTCCCTGCGTTTTACATCACAACTAAAATAAATATTTGCCATATGTTCCCTTCATTTTAGGTTTTGTTAATTTGCGCTTTTATTTCACCGGTTTTTAAATAGATATTTTTATTTACCTGGTGCTTAGACTACGAACAAAAGGAAAACGCACACATACCTGTAATAAAAAAAGAAAGAATAATAATTAAAAGTTTATTTAAGAAAAAAAACAAGTAAGAAAGTATAGTCGGGCGAGGCCGACCATATGATACCCTACACCAGTTATGAATATTAAATATGATTTATTTTTCATAATAAAGCATTTATCTTCAATATTCCCTTGTTCCGATACATTTAAGCAATTTATGGATGAAAAACTAATTTTCTGAAAGAGGCTTTATATGGGGGCTAGGGGCAAATATGGACCAAGCCCGATAAAATTTTGTGAATATATTTATATTTACATAATATTTTATTGTGCTGAATTTCATCGCGATATTTGTGTTTATAAGTTAATTTGGGACATTCAAGTAATTTTCTGAAGGGGACTTTGTATGGGAGCTAGGGTCAAATGGGGCCCGATCTTTATGAAATTTGGCAGGGTCATCAAGACTTCTATAAAACTTAGTTGTGCCGTATATTATCGATATATCTGTATATTTAACATAATTATGAGCTCAGAAGCCCTTTTCGGGGGGTTCTGTTCTATGGGGGCTAGGTGAAATAATGGACCGATTTTAACCATTTTCAATAGGCTTCGTCCTTGGGTCAAATAAAATGTGCGTGCCAAATTTCATCCAATTATCTTGAAAATTGCGACCTGTAGCTTGCGCACAAGGTTTACATGGACAGCCAGCCAGCCAGCCAGCCAGCGAGACGGACGGACGGACGGACAGACGGACATAGCTTAATCGACTCAGAAAACGATTCTAAGCCGATTGGTATACTTTAAGGTGGGTCTAGGACGAATATTTTTGTATGTTACAAACATCAGCACAAATCCAATATACCCTCCCCACTAAAGTGGTGTAGGGTATA